CATTGAACAAATGTTACGCGACCTATGACTGCTTGCACTCTCTGCCAACGGTTTTATAAGCTCTTCTCACCACGTATGCCGATTTCTATTCAAGATTGATGGACTGACCACATCGACTCAAGGTTGAGGGACTGATTACCTCATTCTCCTCCTGTTCTTCAAGATTCTCCTTTGTATGGACTGATGAAGCCACTGTGTGGCGAAACGTTTCCTCAATAAAGATACCCAAGAGTTGCACATGTGTCTAATTTATCAACATGTCGGTTCTCTGAACCATTCATCTACAAACGTTTATTTATACACACTCATCTGAGTTTTCTTTGATTTTATCTTAGTTCTTGTTCTAGTTACTTTTCCTTTTATATCCATGGGGAAGTGGAATAAGAATCTTTCCTCCGTAAGCCATGCGTGCTGTAAAAGTCAACTAAAATGCCGGGAACAATGGGCTAGTAACCCCTTTTCCTGTAATAATTACTAAAAAGAATAAGAAGAAAATTGTCAAAGTGAGAAGTCTGAATGTGCGTGGATGTTGTGCAAATGATACGAAAGAGATGATTGTGGATGTTATGAATGAGAAGAAGCTGGATGTCCTGGCTTTAAGTGAAACAAAGCTGAAGAGGGTGGGTGAGTTTCAGTGGAGATGAATAAATGGGATTAGGTCAGGGGTTTCTAATAGTTAGAGCTAAAAAAAAAGTAGCAATAATGTTGAAGGATAAGCTATGGCAGGAAAAGAGGGACTATAAATGTATTAATTCAAGGATTATGTGGAGTAAAATAAAGGTTGGATGTGAGAAGTGGGTTATAGTAAGCATATATGCACCTGGGGAAGAGAGAAGTTTAGAGGAGAGAGATTTTGGAAAATGTTGAGTGAATGCGTGGGGAGTTTTGAACCAAGTGTAAGAGTACTTGTGGTTGGGGATTTTAATGCTAAAGTGGGTAAAAATGTTGTAGAGGGAGTAGTAGGTAATTTTGGGGTGCCAGGGCTAAATGAAAATGGGGAGCCTTTAATTGAGCTATGTGTAGAAAGAGGTTTGGTAATAAGTAATATATATTTTATGAAAAAGAGGATAAATAAATATACAAGGTATAATGTAGCACATAATGAAAGTAGTTTGTTAGATTACGTATTGGTGGATAAAAGGTTGATGGGTAGGCTCCAGGATGTACACGTTTATAGAGGGGCAACTGATATATCGGATCATTATCTAGTTTTAGCTACAGTTAGAGTAAGAGGTAGATGGGATAAGAGGAAAATGGCAACAACAAGTAAGAGGGAGGTGAAAGTGTATAAACTAAGGGAGGAGGAAGTTTGGGTGAAATATAAGCAACTATTGGCAGAAAGGTGGGCTGGTGCAGGTATGAGTAGTGGGGGGGGGGGTGAAGAGGGTTGGAATAGTTTTAAAAATGCAGTATTAGAATGTGGGGCAGAAGTTTGTGGTTATAGGAGGGTGGGTGCAGGAGGAAAGAGGAGCGATTGGTGGAATGATGAAGTAAAGGGTGTTATAAAAGAGAAAAAGGTAGCTTATGAGAGGTATTTACAAAGCAGAAGTGTTATAAGAATAGTAGAGTATATGGAGAGTAAAAGAAAGGTGAAGAGAGTGGTGAGAGAGTGCAAAGTCACTGTTTTAAACCAAAAGCACGGTCAAAGTTTTTTTTTCTCATTACCCACTGTGTGCTGCAGGATTTTTTTATACTGTGCACAATGACCACATAGACCCATTCTGTCATATGTAGGCCTACCAGCTTTCTCTTGCTTGATTTAAAGGTGCTAGAATTTAGGCATACTAGTTCGTCAATAACCCTGGTGCGTAAGCCGTACTAGTACGTCGGAAACCCTGAATTGGTTAAGACATAAATGAAAATCAAAATCACGTTCAGAAGTGATGTATTTAAGTTTTCCAAAGTACGTACAGATAAAGAAATGATTAGAAATAAGTACTGAATCCATATCTAAAATTATTTAAAATCACTATAGAGAACCTAGGATAACCCCAAAAAGTCAGACAAAGTGACTTATTTCCATTGGGGTCCCACTCCCAGTCTCTCCATGGGACAATTTTCTGAAAGGAAGTGCAAAGATAGATTTTGTATAGTGGTTGAGTTCTAGCTCCTTACTTGAAATGTGATTATGAGTACAGTACTGTACAAATAATACACTACCTATGTGGAGAAATTTTCTCCAGGAGGGGTTATCAGCCCCCTTCAGCCCCTTTCGGCCCTGAGAGGCCCAGCCCTCTCAGAAGGGGCAAGCATCTTGTTTACTGCTACAGCGAGTAATTGATAGCAGATGCAGTATGAGTATGGGACGTGGTCGCTTCGACCGACGCTCCTTGCAGTGTTGCAAAGTGTAGTTTAATAAAAGACAGTTCATCTCTTACCTTAGCAGGACAATTAAGGAAAATCCTGCTCCCACTTTATTACCATGGTAAAGATAGTGGACATTGTTGTCTATGCTTAAGACAGCAAGAATCAAACATTCTGCTTTGCTTCATCGAGGAAGTGGCAAGGAAGCAGAAGTACTAGGTCAGCTTTTCCTTTGTGCTGGGGCAGTGACGGCGTGGGGCATTGTGGCGTCTTCAGATTACTTTTGACTCTACTGAGAGTGACACTGACGCCAGGATAACCAACAAAGAACGATCTGTGTGTTAGTGTGAACAAAGTGTCTCACAAAACACAATAAACACTTACAGAGAAGTGTGATCAGCTTCTTTAGTGATAAGATTGTGAACAATAAAGACAAATCTTGTGGAACATAGTGTACCAGTGTGCGTATTCCTAGACTATGGAAGACGTGGACATCCAAGGACACTTCAGCTTCTATCAAGTCACCGATACCTGTCGAAGGTGTGAAGAACACCATATTATTATTATTATTATTATCAAAGGGGAAGCGCTAAACCTGGAGGATTATACAGCGCCTTGGGGGGGGGATGTGGAAGGCATTCAGGCTCAATTCGGGGAACTGGAGCACGAAGAACTCCATAGCTCACGCTACAAGAGCAAGGTAGGTTACGAATTTCTTGTAGTACGGGGGACTGCGCAGTTCTTGAGTCGCAAGGAGTTTGTAATCAACCTGTAGTCGGCAGTTAGGTGCAGACTTTTGAGTCCACACAAGTAAGTTTGTCAGCCATCAGTGAATGAAATATGCTGACATAACACCCCCTAGGGGTAATTTATAATCTTACAAATTATAACTCATTTCAGCCCGTTGAGGAATGACTTCGACAGCTTCTCAAGACCTCGTCTGCAGGGGCGGCTATGCAGGCGATGAGCTGTCTTTCTAAGTTAAGTCTTCCCTATACAAAATGTATAAGCTTAACTGGTAATGCCATTTCTCAACAACCTACTGTATAAATAATACACTGCCTATTGTATTAATAATACATTGACTATCTCAAAAATATTTTACTCCCACATCTACCCTGTCAGTACTGTATACCATTATCATATTCCTTCAATGAAACCCTGACTTAACAATACAACAAAATCTTCACCAATTGGTGATGCCATTCAACAAATTAAGATTTAGAAAGAATATAGGAAAGGCCTGGTTTAACAAGTCATAGATGAGCGGAATAATTTCCCAGGTAATGTCAATGAAATGAGAGCTTCAATAATAATAATACTTCATTTCAGCATGATACAATGTTTGTACAAAGGTGAATGACATTTGGGTGCACATGCAGAAAGCCTCTTAATATGCAGTAATATGCAGTTAATATGCAGCATTTCGGGCAAACTTAAGAATAACTTAAGATTAATAAGGCAATAACAACACGAGTAATTTTATACATAAAGTCACTTGGCTGAGGGTAAATATAAATTTAGGAGTAACAATGAATACAAGAGAATTGAATGTCACATCAGTGGGTTAGCCTTAAACATACAGAAGATAGGATTTTGTTCGGATTTTTTAAACCCAGAGGGTTAGCTACCCAGGATAACCCAAGAAAGGCAGTGCATCATCAAGGGACTGTAAGTCTTATTTCCATTGGGGTCTTCAATCTTGTCCCCGAGGATGCAACCCACACCAGATGACTAACACCCAGGTACCTATTTGCTAGGTAAATAGGACAAAGGGTATAAGGAAATGTGTTGAATGTTTCCACCCCACCGGGAATCAAACCCAGACCATTAGCACGTGAAGCGAGAGCTCTGCCAGCCAGGCTAAAGGGCCCCACAGTGGGTGTGAGTTAGACTTGCCTAGCATGGGCCAGTAGGCCTACTGCAGTTATATTTTTACATTGTAATTTAACCTAGAATACCCCAATAAAGTCAATGTAATTTATTAATCTAGATGGATTAGCAATGTAATCAGTGAAGTTGTATGATAATCAAAATTATTTATAATAATAATCTTGATTTCTACATAATTCAATAACTTAAAGTGACTTATTTCCATTGGGATTCTTGTAATAACTATTATTTATATTTAAAAGTTAAAAACAGGTAAATATCTTAACTATGTAAATGCAGTTACAAACTGTCATTTGTACCCAGAATTACAAGCTTTTATTTACAGGTTTACATTTAGTTACTATATATAGTAAGTCAAAAGTAAATTAATTAATGTAGAATAACTCACTAAAAGTCACTTTGTCAGACTTTTTTCTTGGGTTATCCTAGGTACTTTATACATATGCTGCTGTGTATGATAGTCTATGTAACTGTATTTGTGTATACCTGAATAAACTACTTAATTATCTACATATATGCTGGTCTGTATGATAATTTATGTGTACCAGTACCTGAATAAACTTCATTGACTTTGTAACTTGTTCAGCTATCAAAAATATGGGGCACAGTCCCTGTACCCTAATATGTACCACTGTAAGTAGTGTGCCCAAATACTGGCACTCTCTGCACTGCAACTCATTATTGTAATTACACAATCTCAAAGTACTGCTGCAAACAAATACAAATTGTAATGTTATTTAGTAGTGAAGCAGGTTAGTGGCTGAGGCAGCAGCTTGCTCACACGCCAACACTACTGTACTTACTTTCCATTTTGTTGGAGCAGCTGCTGCTACTGGTGGGCACAGTTGAGGGCGTCCCTGGGCTGGTGTGGGACGTTGGGGAGTGTAGGAGACTGATGAAGGAGTGTTGGAGATGATGGAGGAAGCAGCGTCAAGCCTCCTGCAGGAGCAAACACAACACACCGCTGCCAGACACTTTCACTCTCACCAACACTTAGCCCAAACTCTCCTACGGCACAAATCCAATCCACGTATTAAGTGTTTTTATTTATTTTGTTTTACGAATGAATGACGTTTTGTAGTAGACATGGTGAGCTCCTGGAAATAAGTCACTTTGTCTGACTTTTTGGGGCCTTAGTCTACGTAATTTACACATATGTTACTGTTAGTTTATTTATTTATTTATTTGAACATGATAGAGAGAAGTACAAAATAATAGTTAAATGCAGCATGCCAAAGCCACTTGAATGCATAGCATTACGGGCAGGCTTAAAATTAACTTAAGATTAGTAGATGAATGGTTCAGAGAACCGACATGTTGATAAATTAGACACATGTGCAACTCTTGGGTATCTTTATTGAGGAAACGTTTCGCCACACAGCGGCTTCATCAGACCATACAAAGGAGAATCTTGAAAGTTAAGACACATGTGCAACTCTTGGGTGTCTTTATTGAGGAAACGTTTCGCCACACAGCGGCTTCATCAATCCATACAAAGGAGAATGAGATTAAGACACATGTGCAACATCTGGGTATCTTTATTGTAGACGTTTCGCCATCCAGTGGCTTTATCAATACAAATTCTAGGACATAACTTGAAGACAGTAGAACTATGTACAGAAGATGAGGTAATCAGTCCCTCAACCTTGGAGTAGGTGGTTAGGTAAGACACATATGCAACAGTTAGGTATCATTATTATTAAACGTTTCGCCTACACAGTAGGCTTCTTCAGTCAAGTACAGAAAAGTTGATAGAAGCAGAAGATACTTGAAGACGATGTAATCAGTCCATCACCCTTAAAGTTTTGAGGTGGTCAGTCTCAGTCTGGAGAAGAGCATTGTTCCATAGTATGAAACAATATGGAGTAGGTGCGAAGAGCACCATATGGTGCTCTTCGCACCTACTCCTAGGTTGAGGGACTGATTACCTCATTCTCCTCCTGTTCTTCAAGATTCTCCTTTGTATGGACTGATGAAGCCACTGTGTGGCGAAACGTTTCCTCAATAAAGATACCCAAGAGTTGCACATGTGTCTAATTTATCAACATGTCGGTTCTCTGAACAATTCATCTACAAACCTGTCAGACACTGCAACTTCTTGGGATCTATATGCCTGATCACATAATTTACATTGAACACTATGTGCTTAATTGTCCACTTATTGAGGAATACAGAGACAGACAGTATAATAACCTATGTGACATGTCAAGATATCTTATTAATGAAAATAAGATACCAGATATACTAAGCAAATTTCCTAAATTTGTTTGCAACAGATAAGTGAACTATAGATATGTAGATATAAATCCATATGTATTCCTGTTAACCCTTTGGGGCCTAGTTCCTAGGCCTTCTGTGTATCCATATGTTAGGTAAGACACATATGCAACAGTTAGACAACTTTATTCCGAAACGTTTCGCCTACACAGTAGGCTTCTTCAGTCGAATACAGAGAGTAGGCAGGAACAGTAGAGATGTGAAGGCGATGTAATCAGTCCATCACCCTTAAAGTCGTAGAATTTGAGGTTGTCAGTCCCTCGGCCTGGAGAATTTCAGTTCCATAGTCAGGAACTATCTGAAGATCAAGCGACAGTGCGGAGACTTAAATACTGTCGGAAGGAGAGGTGCAGGGTAGTAGTAGTAGTAGTAGTAGTAGTAGTGAGAGGCAAATGAGAGGTCATGTCCCCCTCAGATCCAACCCTTCTCACTTGAAAAGCTTGTCCAAGGTGTTTTCTGTACCAGGATGCCATGTGTTGCAGTGTCTGACAAGATGAACATCAAAATGGTATACAATACCGACAGGTTGTTAGGTAAGACACATATGCAACAGTTAGACAACTTTATTCCGAAACGTTTCGCCTACCAGTGCTTCTTCAGTCGAATACAGAAAATAGGCAGGAACAGTAGAGATGTGAAGACGATGTAATCAGTCCATCACCCTTAAAGTCGTAGAATTTGAGGTTGTCAGTCCCTACGACTTTAAGGGTGATGGACTGATTACATCGTCTTCACATCTCTACTGTTCCTGCCTACTTTCTGTATTCGACTGGAAGAAGCCTACTGTGTAGGCCGAACGTTTCGGAATAAGTTGTCTAACTGTTGCATATGTGTCTTACCTAAAACCTGTCGGTATTGTATACCATTTTGATGTTCATCTTGTCAGACACTGCAACACGTGGCATCTTGGTACAGAAAACACCTTGGACAAGCTTTTCAAGTGAGAAGGGTTGGATCTGAGAGGGACATGCCTCTCAGTTGCCCCTCACAAATACTACTACTACTACTACTACTACCCTGCACCTCTCCTTCCGACAGTATTTAAGTCTCCGCACTGTCGCTTGAATCTTCAGATAGTTTTCCCAACTATGGAACGAATTCTCCAGGCCGAGGGACTGACAAACCCCAAATTCTACGACTTTAAGGGGGGATGGACTGATTACACGTCTTCACATCTCTATGTTCCCGCCCTACTTT